TCACCGGCGAGCTTCGCTGTGAAAAGTTTCTGGTCGCTCTGAAGGCGTTGGCAGTTGCTCATGTCCGATTTCCATATGTTATTCTTTTATGGAATCTATATTGGATTGTTCCGATTGCATACTTTTCGATTTGGCCCGATATATTATTTGGGCAATAATCTTCCCGCTTTGTAGCGGGTCTTCTCAGACTCGAAACAACTCGTTCAGCGAAATCTTTTCCGCCGACGAGGTCCGGGCGCAATGGCCCCAACTGCACGGCTCCATGCAGCCCTACATAGGCTGTTTTGAAACGCTCGCACAGCTCGCCCTTGCACAATGCTCCTGGCAAGAACTTCGAAGCAAGCACGTTCGCTTCGTGCTTCCCACCGCTTCAGACAACACGAGCGCCGAAAGCGCTTTTCAGCACTGCAGAGCCTCTCGGCACTTTTTTGCGCCTTGCCGCCACTTGGGCGCACCTGCACCGTGTCCAATTCGAGGTTGAGCATTTGGCAGGTGAGAAGAACGTCTGGGCAGACAGGCTCAGCAGAGGCCGCCTTGCTTTCCTCTCGCACCGCCCTGGTGAGAGAGTCCGCATTGGCCTCGCGCAACTGGCCTCGGCATCGCATTGCGTCACTTTGCACGACATGTCGAGGGACTGGCCGTCGGGACTTCGCAAGGCCCAGTCAGCCATGCTCCGCTGAGCCCTCCGCCTGCTTTTACGCGCGGTAGGAAAAAAGGAGTTGCACTGCGTGCTTTTCTTCTGACTTCGCAGCCTTTCTGCACGTTTCGTGCCCGCAGGTACACAGTCCTCCACCTCGCGCGGTGGGGGTTCCTACAGTGAGATTCCCGGCATCGCTTTGCCCAGACAAAGCTTCTGCCTTTCTGACGCATCGCATTCCTTGCACCTCCAGCGATAAAAAGAGTGACTGCGTTCGTTCATGTGATGCATCTACATGAAAGAACGCATGCTGTGTGTTTTTATGTTGTATCAGCAGTGTTTTCTATGTAGTGTCTTACACATGCCTCTCGCTGTGTTTGGGCTTAACATAGAAACACACAGCATGCATGCTTGGCAAAGCATAGTTTCAATTTTTCACCCACCATCCACACCCTGGGGGATAGTTTCTCGGCATCGCTTTGCCCAGACAAAGCTTCTGCCTTTCTGACGCATCGCATTCCTTGCACCTCCAGCGATAAAAAGAGTGACTGCGTTCGTTCATGTGATGCATCTACATGAGAGAACTTTTAGGTTTAAACCTAAACCTTTATAAACCCTAAACCCAATCTTAAACCCCACCTCTAAACAGAAGCCGAACCAGCTACCCGTGCATGCTTAAAGGCCCGATGCGCTTTCAGAGGCTTGCAAAACGCATATCAGGGAGGCTCTCCCCTTCTAAAGTCCCAGCGGTTGGGTCCTTCGCCGGTGTGGAGTTTCGAAGCTATGCGTTTCACAGAGCTCTAAAAACGCACAACAGATTGGCCCATCTTAATTATAAAGACTCCAGAACTCACACAAGCTAGCCAAGCGCACTGGAGCGCACAAGCCTACACAAGCGCACCCCAAGCGCACCCAAGCGCACCCAAGCGCAAAAGATTGCAAGCGCTGCTTGATATCAAATTAGACTCGAAGCGCCTGGAAACGGGCTTAAAATCTGAAAGTATGATTTACACCGCCTTTGAGGCAGAATGACCGAACATCCCCCTGCCGTAGGCGGCATTCGGACTTAAACTAGGCTAGCCGAAGACCCAGAAATGCAACTCAACTCCCCGAACAAGTAAACTCGGTTCGAATATGAGGGGCCCTTAGTCCTTCGTATGATTTACCAAAAAAAAGGGCCGCGCCCCTTAGAGGTCGGTGGGGCTCTCGTGGGAAGGAGCCTGTACTACAGAGACTCATCTGGGGAGGATCGATCCTCTTGGCTGGCTTAGGGTCATTGTAGTTCCTTTTTGGGGTTTAGGGTTTAGGGTTTAGGGTTTAGGGGGGTTTAGGGGGGTTTAGGGTTTAGGGTTTAGGGTTTAGAGTCTCCATTGTAGTTCCTTGTTGGGGGTTCCCTTATCGGATCCTAAATGTATATTTGCTTAAACCAAAACAAGGAAGTACACAATGGAGACTATAGGTAGGTCTTCTGCCTCTGCAATCTTACAGTGCCGCACTCCTCTTAAACCCGGAGTTGGGGCTTCAGGCTTCAGAGTTCACGGTTCCGGGCTAGCTGATCTGGGATCAAGGTTCGTGGTTGAGGCTCCATGAAGAGTCATCCGGACCGCAGAATGAAGGGTCATGTGCAGGTTTGCGCCCCTGGCCCTCCGGCAACACCTCCGCTTAGGGTTCGGGTATAGGGTTACGGGTAAGGGTCCAGAGTACATCCCTGCTGTTTGCTGCAGAACTTGCTCAGACCTCTACCCAACATAGAAACTCACCAGCACCACTAGGGAGCCCTATCCATACTCATGCCAGTCTGCCATTGCAATCATGAAGACCGCCAGATTGCACGCTGGCTATGACGACCGTATTCTGCTAATTGAGGCACCTACATTGCATGAGCCCGAATCTGATGCCAGCCATGTACAAAGCCAGCACGGTGATGGGGAGGAGAACGGTGGAACAGTCTGTGTGTGTGTGTGAGTGCGTGGGATGCTGGGTTCGGATACGGTTTAGGATTTAGGAGGTTTGGGGTTTGGGGTAGTTGAGATCCAAGTGTTTTCGAGGAGTCATGGAATGATAACCTACTGGGTTCGGAATTGTAGGATCGGGTTTGATCGTATCAAACCTCGAAGTTCCCGAGGGGCCTCCAACCTTAGCAGAACCGTAAATGGTCGAAGCTTGCAAGACCTCTTGCCTTGCCTTTGGTCCATGCACAGGGCCTGCAGCCTAGTCGCTCTGACAACATTGCCTTGGACTATTTTTTCGCAGTGCGAATCCTGCCTTACGATTGGCACTGGCCTTCTCTTATAGAGTACCTCACATTGCCCGGATGGCTTGGACCGCCTAGCGCCATGCAGTTTTGCAATTTCTTGCAAAGCTGTACTATCGGTTCTCGCCTAATGCCATTTTTTCCAGGGTCATTACTGGATTCGCCTGGCCCTTCTCAGCGCTGAGTGCCATGAGCACGTTGCCTTCCATCTGCAATTGACAAATTAGTCCGCCTTCCAGGTCCTGCCTATCAGCACTGGGCCTGTGCTCCAAACAAAGCCTGGCCTGGCCCTTTGCCTCATCTAGAAGCCCATTCCACTTCTAACTGCTAATTTTAATATTGCCGACATGGGTCAAGCCTCACACTTTGATGCCTTGTCCAGGTTTCTCACTGAGAAAAGCCTTCCCAGTCTAGCCTTTTCAGGTTTTGCACAGGTTGTCAATGAGAACTGCCGCTTTTTCCCGTCCAGTCCAGAATCTAGCTTACGGGCCAGCAGTCTGAGTCGGAAGTCCAATTTGCCAAACCTCAGATACAGCACCCGCCTATTTGTTCTCTTGACCATACGTCCACATTTCATGTATCGCGCTGGCCTATTCCGACAGGTAGCCTTGCGTTCCAGAGACATTCGTCTGGCTTTTCTTGGTGGTCATAGCCTTGAAGGCTTTCTGTTTGGAACTCAACCGTGCTCACTCATCCTATTGTGCTTTCAACCTCAGAATTGGTTTCAGCTTGTACTCTGCAACAGAGCCTGCCATAAGTTCAGCCGAGCAAGCCAACTTGTCAGTCATGTTTTTGTCCTTTCAGGCCTAGACTTTGCCAGGGCCTCGATTATGCTGGCCGTTGAACCCACTTGCTGTAAGCCTAACAGAAGCAACACGGTTATAAAAGAGAGATGTCTCGCTTAGTAGTGCTAGAGCAGTGCCAGTACAGTTGAACGACATTGAGCTTGTTATTTTTCATGCAAAGCCAAACACCCACCAATAGTCGTAAACCCGGAACTCTAAACCGTGGCAGCAAGCCTTCAAACGCTTGCACCCTCTTTCTACCGCGCTTTCGCCGCTGCGCTTGGGCCCCAAAGCCGCCCGAAGAGCTCTTTGAGACCTTGGATCTGTGGGCAGGCGGAGGGGGGGTCAGGGGGAGAGAGTTTGAAGGTTGAGGGTTTAGGGAATAGAGTTTCGGGTTTGGGGTTGAGAGTTGAGGGTTTAGAGCTTTGGGTTTAGGGTTTGGGGGTTGAGGGGTTCGGGGGCTGTGGACATGAGGAGGCGTTGGAATAAGACTAAGAGAATGAGAGTAGAACGTGAGAATTGGGAGGATAGGGGGCGGAAAGAAAAAGAGTATGTGCAGGGTACATCAATACCAAACCCTCACGCAGACACCATCTTGCCAGGCCATGATCCCAGTTCCCGCAGATTCAGATGAGGAATTGTGAGGAAAAATGCGTGCGGCTTGCGAGGATAATGCCGGATAAACGTTTTGATGTCCCTGATCCAAGGCTTTGGCCACACGCATGCACAAGTGCAACTACAGAAACACCAATCGTCCTGATGCACACAGCAGTGGGCTCGACAGGATATTTTGGAGCGGCGAAGATACCATCGATTCCGAAGCGTTCGTAGATTCGATATTGCATTCGGCTGTCCCATGATTGGTGCCAGCTATAAAGATGTGCGTGCAACGCCGTTCCGGCCGTGGCAGGCCGAAGCCTTAGCATCATGAACGCATGTCTTTGTATCAGTGTCGGTGAATGTGTAGCAGTGTAGCAGTGCAAATGTCATCATGTTGAGTATGTACCAGATTCGGTGATTGGGCCGTGTGGAGTTTTGTCGTCTGAGTTTTGCGGCAACATGTCACTGCTAAAGTTCTGTTCTAAGGCCCCTACGGCAAACCCCATGCGTACCCTCTCCGGTAATGCTTGATAGAGCCCTTTGAAAGGAACCCCCCTAGACCCTAAACCCTAAACCCTGAACCCTAAACCCTAAACCCCTAAATCCTAAACCCCAAACCCCTAAACCCTAAACCCTACACTTTAAGGGGATCCCTCTTCTAGTGGCAAAGGCCCCCACGGCCCCAGAGGACGCCCTTTGCGCTCCTAGCGGATTCATCAACCTGGGCCCCGAAATCAGTCTTGCAGGGCTCTGCTTATTGTCGGTTTAGGGCTTGGGTTTTGGGTTTAGGGGCTGAGGCGTTTAGGGGTTTAGGGTTTAGGGGTTTAGGGTCTAGGGGTGTAGTGCCCGAGCTCAGATTGTGCCGGTGGAGCCATGAAGGCAGGCCGCATGGTTGACTTGTCATTGAGCGATCCTCGAGCTGTCCGGATTGCCCGTGCGATGCACGCCGCTGTTTGTGATGGCAGCGTTTCGTTTAGAAAGCAAGACTTCTGCAAGGACCAGAGACTTTGTCGTATCAAAGCCACGTTGATGTTCATCACGAACTGTCATCAAATTGTTAGTTGAAGCAACTTGCCAGGCTTGGAGATGCACACACAGCATGTTTGACCAGCCATGCCCATCCCATTTGCCGAGTCCGACGTGAAGCAACGTTGGCCAGATGTTAACTTGGTGGTTGCAGATGCATACGATGTTCGGGCGCAGCATGTGAAAGGTTTGACAACCAACCTGTGGCATTCTCGGGAAGATGGCGACTTCGTGTTTACAGTTGCCGGAGGGACAATTCGTGCACACAGCTGCATCTTGTCTGCTGCATCGCCAGTGTTCAAAGCCATGCTGGCAAGTGGAATGACAGAAGGGCTTTCTTCATCCGTCCTGCTTGATGCCGAACCGTCTGAACTGTTAGCGATGCTCCGCTTCATTTATACCGGCGAGTTGGACGCCACAGCACAGCAGCTGCCTGGAGTGTTGGCATTGGCTCACCGTTATGAAGTAGTGAACATGATTCCGCCACTTTGTGAGGCCATGATTGACAGCCTGAATATTGACACAGCAGCTCCCTACATACGGGTGCTGCGATTGCTTGAAGGATGCCCAGGCGTCTTTCAGAGGCAGCAGTCAGAGAGCCGGAAGTGCAAGGCCGTCGAAAGCTACGATTCGCCTGGCCACGGGCTGCGGTCAACTGAAATGCAAGCTTGGATGGCGCTGCCGGCGACGGGAAGCTTGCCAAGCATTCCACCAGCCGTCCGCATAACTGGGCCAGTGCTGTCCCAGTTTAGCTCAGGGGAGGAGGCGCGACGCGGGGCTGAAGCCTGCAGTCGCAGAGTGATTTGTGTCTACAGCACGAACATGTGGCCTCCCTCAAACGTAGCACGCGGCAGCCTGCAGGCATCGTCAGTCAAAGATGGGGCTTTGAGCACTGGCCTCCCGTCGTCACCATCAGGCCTCGAAGCCGATGAGTTTGCTCCTGATGTGATGTAGGCTCCCGTTCTCTGCCAGTGCAAGGTGATGATTGTCGAGTGGAAGCCGCCTCTCCGATCCTTTGCGCCCCATTACCCCGTCCTGTGTGCTTTGTGCGAAGGGCCCGTCGCACTGAGCACTGCCCACTGCAAACATCCGAGGATCTCCCAGGCTTTCCTCGCGGTAGCGCAGCGGAGGCTTGGCAGAAGCTTACCCGGCTGATGCGATACAGGATGACGCGTGTTACATTAGGTAGACCGCGTAGGTTTGGTCAAGACTTGAGGCGAGGTGAGGTGCGCCGCCTGTTCCAAGGATTGCAGAAAGCCCTGAGCTTCTTATGGCAACTCTGAGGGCTTTGTGAGCTGGGAACCGGCAACAAAGATTGCCTTCCAGGCAGTGGAGGTCGCAAAAGCGATGGTCCACTCTGTTTTGCGTGGCAGGCAGCAACGCTGCGACTTCAGCTGGTTTGATCGTTGGAAGGTTCCTTTTGGGAAGTACCGAGATGAGTTCCAACGGGCAACGAGTTGAGGGAAAAAACTCGGGCTGTGTTGTCGATGGCCGGAAATAATGAGTATGAGGAGTTTGTGCGGAAGGTCCCAGCTCCCACCACAGAGCAGCTGGTGGACAACGTCCTGCGAAAAGCGCAGGCTTCGCGAGGCCTTGCCGTTGCCCTCTTTGGTTGTTTTTGCCCGGTCGGTGCTGCAACACGTAGCAGGTGATCCAGTTCGAGAGCAAGACCAAGCAAGCAGGCATGGCACCAAGAGCTCGTTGCCAATTGCATTTCTGCCACCTTCGTGTTTCTTTGGTACTCCTCTCTGACACGACTTGAGGCCTCAGCCGGCACGAGGCTCGACCAGCGCGACGCGTATGTGGCTCAGAGGTTGAGGCCTGTGAATTCGGGTGTGCGGAGAGACATGAATGCGAGGTCCGACAGACGGACGTGTCACTGAGCTGGTCTCCAGGGTGTTGATCTCTCAGTCGCATCTGCACTTCTGCATGCAGTGTTGTTTGAAGGCTGAAGCTCGTCTCAGGCTGGACGGTGCCGCTCGTTTTGTGCGTGGCACGGGTGCCTGCCTGAGGGATGAAAGGAAGACCGGGAACAAGTGAGAAGCCACCCATCAGACTCTACTTGAACCTGCTCCGACAGCACCCCGAGCTCAGGTCTGCTGAGGGGTCGCCGCAAGTCTCGCGACTCGGAGCCTCTCAGCAGCGAGGAGCCAGGCCGAGCTCAAGCGGCTCAAGCGCCTACGCCTCTTCCTGGCCCTGGTGCTAGCACTGGAGCAAGGCCTCAGGGACCGTCCGCGAAAAGCTGGAGCCGATAGGGTTTGGGGCCTTGTGGTGCGTGCTCCACTCGTGTGAGGAGCGATGCTCCGGATCTGCACCCTCCGGATGGAGGAAGGAACGCCGAAGACATCTTCTGGAGCGGCGAGAAGGCTCCACAGTTGAACCAGAGACAGAATGTACGTTCCGAGCGAAAGTCCGCTTCGCCTGTTTTCCTTGCGGTGGTTGGCGTGCTGAAGGACGGAAACCATCGGAAACCCCCGCAAGCCGCTGTATGAGTGGGGAGGGGGCAGGGGATGGGCTTAGCGGCCGCAGGTGCCAAACACAGGTGCCGATAATGCGCCGGATGAGCCCTCTCTGCTATCTTCGCAACTCAGACGGCACAGACATGGTCAGTGAAGCCGGTAGACCTAGAGAAGATAGATGCTTTGACGAATATCAGCTGCAGGCCATGGGAGCTTTCTGCCACAGGCCTATTCTGCGCGCTGTGTCCATTGTGCTGCAGAGCACAGTGCACTTCCAGGCGCCCGATCTCAAGGATCCGGCGTTGGTGGCCTGTCCCCGGTTCCATGGCAGGGAGAGCCGTCACTTGACCAGGACTTTCACTTGCAACGTGGTTGATGGAGCTCGCTTAGCCTTTACCGTTGAAGATTCTGCAGAGACCCCCAGTGGATGCTGTGATATGTTACAAAGCCATTACGGCTTCCAGCTAACAGCTTGACTGGTTGGAGAATAATATATAAACTCAGCAACGCCTCGCTGCAGGCCATGAGATGTTCTGTAACATTCGTCGTTCACAAACAGCTAACGAGCAAGGAAGCGCATTCCATACAAGATTCTCAAGAGGCTGAAGGCAACAGGCCCCTGAATGGCCGCAAATTTCTTTGGAGAATGTCGGTCCGAGTGAGCCGAGCTCGGTTTAATTTCGCGACTCAATGCGAGACTCGGGAGACTCCTGCGGAGCGAGCTAAAGAAGTGGCTTCGTCTAGCCATCCTCCACGGCCTACAGAGCCTCAAGCGGGAGAGCCTGCGACAAAAGTCAGGAAGCTGGCGGAGGTTGTGAAACCCGTGTCTATAGCAACGCCACTCCGAAACACGATTCTGCCAGATGGTGCCGACTGGAGCGGGGTCACGGTCGTGTTTGCAAGTGACACGAGCAGTGTGGCTCAAGCAGCTGTGGAGAAGCAAATCTTGGAAGCTGGTGGCAAAGTTGGTGCTGCAATCTCGCAGCGAACATCCTTGGTCGTTCTGGGAGGCAACCTGCCAGATGGAAGGCCTCCGATGGAGTCCGCCAAGTACCAGCGCTTTCTAGATTTGCAGTCCAAGGGAAAGGTACAGGCCAAGGTGCTGTCCGAGGCGGCCTTTCTGAGCCTACTGCCCACTCAGCCTCCGCCTGCTCCCGCCACCACCCCGGCCATTCCACAGAGTTCCATGCCAGCACAGAAGCCGAAGCTTCCTCAGAGCACTAAAAAGCTCGAGACGTCCAAGAGTTCTCCTCTGCGGAACTGGGTCGATATTTTCTCTCCGAAGCAGCTGGAAGATCTCCTTGGGAACCAGGCTCCCATTCGGAAGCTGGCAGATTGGCTGCAAGACTGGGAGGATGTAGTGCTGCGTGGGAAGAGCAAGAAGCCTGCCTTTCGACACGGGAGCGTGCCTGACAACTTGAACGTCCTGGCGCCCAGTTGAAATCCCTTACCTTCGGAGCCTGAGAGCCTTTGTGAAAGCCTGAGAGAGAGCCATGAAAGCCTCGCAAGGCCAGAGCTGCACTGGCTCGGGGCTCAGTGCGCGATCATGAGGTTTCTGATGAGGTCCTTGTCTTGCATCGCCAGGTGAGCGGGCCACCAGGGATCGGGAAGACAACAACCTGCCGACTTGTAGCCCAGCTACAAGGGCGATATGAGGCTCAATGAGCGCACGCCAGGTGTGCCGCTTCCCGCATCTTCATTCCTTCCTTACGTGGCAGGTCTTGGAGTTCAACGCTTCGGACTCGAGAGGTCAAAAGGTGATCCAGGCCACGCGTACGTCCCTGGGACACAGATGCCACGAGTCGGTGACTGGAGCCGCGAAGCCCCGACGGGAGGAAATGGCAGCAGGCATAGCCGAGAACACCACCATTTCTTTCGCAGGCTCAAGCTGCCTCTTCAAAGAGTCTACTGATTCTTTATGCCTTGGCTTGCTTGCATTTCTCTTGGCCAGGTGGTCGGCAAGGGCAAAGGCACCAACAGACTGTTGGCTGGTTCCGATGCAGCATGTGGCTCCGCAGGAAAGTTGTCATCATCATGGACGAGGTTGATGGAATGGGTCTTGCGCCCAGGCGGATCTCTGCACCGACCATGGGCTGCTAAATGGATTGGCGAGGTGGTGGGGACAAGGGTGGCATCGCTGCCCTCATCAAAATGATCAAGAGGAGTCAAGTCTTCGGCATGTGCACGACTGCAGTGTAGACTCAGTGTAGGCCACTTCTGCAGACTCAGCCGGTTTACGCAGTGGCATAAGGCAGATGTTCGCGAGACTGCCTTGGAAGATGAATCCAGGACCCGCAATCCCATCATCTGCATTTGCAATGACCAGCATACCCAGCAGGCGTGCTGGTTTCTGTCCCGCTCCGTTGTCTTGGCACTCTGGGCATCCTTCCAGAGGTGAGATCTTTGGCGTCCAGCTGCTACGACCTAAAGTTCACCAGGAGCTGGGGGCAGCTGGGGCAACTCTCGGGATCTGGCGCTTGAATGCAGTTGCTGGGTACTGTAGATGTGCAAGGCCTCCGAAGAATGCGATAGCGCAACGGTGTGCCCAGATCGCGAGGCGGATTTCTCTGAGAAAGCATGGCTTTCAGCACCCGGTCTGAGTGTGTCCGTGCTGCCTCGCGTCACAGGCAGCAGGGCCTTCAGGTCGATGTGGCTGCGGTGGAGGCGCGGCTTTGGCGACGGAGGTCTCTGCCTTTTGGCCCCATTTTTCCTGGCGCCACTGAAGCTGAAGGCCATAGTGGAATCCTCCGGCAACGATGTGCGGGTGGACTCGGGCTCAGGCTTCTCAGGGCTGGTGTTCGGGCTCCTGCTTTCTGCACAGCGCAGGTCCTAAACCATTTGCAGATGATGAAAGCCGCACGCGCCGCTGCTCCGAGGCCTGTGCGGCCGCAAAGCGCTGTAGGTATCAGTCAGCACCCCTCAGCCGTAGCGCGGCCGCGCGGTCTCACCACTCTGCTCTGCATGGAGCTTACCTGCACACAACAAATCTGTCCTGCTCTCGCCTCCGTGCTGGAATACCCCGTTCCGAAATGTTCCGAACTTCACGATCATGGAGTAGAGCTGTAATTCCCACGTACCCACAGCACATGCTCGTGAATGCGTGACACGGTCTGTTGCTCTATCTCTTGTTCTCCCTGATCTCCCAGCTAGTCTGTGTGGCGGCCACCCGGTGGGCTTTCCGGCTTCCGAGCTTCCCGTTCTGCCTTCCATGCCTGGCCTTGGCAAGTCATTCCTCGTCTGGGCCAGCCGAGATTCCCTCAACGCATTCTCCCAACAGCCAGCTTCTCTCCACTCCGAGAGTGTGAGCTAGAAGCCTGCTTAAGGGTGTCACGCGGCTGTTCTTCGTTGCGCGGCTTTCTGAGGCAGCAAATCAGGCATGGCACAGACATCACGAGTTGGAGTTGCACTCTCACAGCATGGTCTTCGACAAGGTGTAGTTTTGATAGACCTAGAGACAGGTTTCCCTTGGTTCGGGCTTCTTTGCAGTTGCGCGCTGTGCTCTGGCCGAGTGCCCACTTCTGAGTTGCACGTTGCAGTTGCTCCATCTTGACGGAGAGCCCGGGTCGACTTGGCAGCCCAGCTGATCGTTTGGGCAGATCGTGCACTGCAGCGCAAACGTGGCAGTGCCTGAGTCCATTAAGGCAAGGATCAGGAGGTGATGCTCAGCCCGTTCGACGTGTGCCTTGGGCATGAGATGGCATGAGTTCATGTTTTCCATGATGGCCTGCTTCTGGATGTCCCAGCGAGGTGTCGGAAGCTGCTGACGTCGTCGGAGGCCCCTGCCAAGACCATGAGTTGCGTGTGAAGTGGCTGCGCGAGCAGCTGCTGCTGAAGTGAGGCAAATTCACTCGCCTTTCAAGCCCGCTTCGAGATGCAGGGGCCCCGGTAGGTAGGGAGAAGTGGAGAAGGAAAGGGCGACGCAGAGAAAGGACGGAAGGAGGAAGGAAAAAGGACAGATGCTCTGCTCAGCCTACTCTATCTACTCAATATAGTTGTGTATCTGCTACATTTATCTGTGTATCTTGCGCTGCTAGGCTGTAGATGCTGCACCCAGTTGTGCAGTACAGCTTCCGTCCCAGTCAAAGGTTCTTCGTGGACCACTCGCTCGTTAGCATGCCTGGTGCCCGGACTCGGAGAAGAGCAGGAACCTGTGAGAGAGCTGTGGTGTCAGGGGCGAGCCTCCCCGCGTCAGAAGATGTCAGGCTCGTGCACGAGAACTACTTGCGGTCGATTGAGAGACAGCCGGTGATGTCCTCAACCGCCAACTGTCCTTAAAGACATGAAAGCCTTTGCCAAATGTTGAGTTCTCGTCAGGTCAGCTCCGAAGTGCTGAATCGATGTGCATACTCTGCAGATCTCATGACCATCGGTGTGAGCCTCGGTGTTGAGGCGACCTTCGCACGCTTCGCACAGCACTGCGATGAACTGTGGCTGTGCGAATGTCCTTCAGGTGATGTGATGAGTCAACGGATGGTGGTTGAGCAGGCGAGAGAAGACCAGGCAAGGTTTGCAGGGCCGTGCGTTGTTGGGTATCTGAGGAATGGAGTTTCCTACCGCACTGTGCGGCCCTGTGCTTAGATCAGCCATGAGTCTGGCAGGGATCTCGCAAGAAGTCGGCGAACAGCCTCCGTGGGACTTCGTGCTACAAGTAAGAACTGAAGAAACGTGTCCGCAGCAGCCTCTTCGTTGAGGCCGTGGGCTGTGCCTACCCGACCTTTGTCACCAGAGGAAGCCTTGTGTGGGGCTCAGCTGCTCAGCCATGCTCAGCCTGTTCCAATTCAGAACTAAACTCCGCATGAGCTGTGAGGTCTATCCCAGCTTCCCTTCCATCATGGGCAAGATGTCTTCACAATCCAAGTCCAGGCGACACTTTCGCAGTTAGCGACGTCCCCCAACAACGGCTTGTGCTTGCAGCTTGGGCAGGCGCCTCATCTCAGAGCTGCAGGCGCCGACCCGTATCGGTTTTCCTCACTTCCATCTGTGTGCGGCTGCACAAAGTCACTTGACTTTGTGAAAATGCCAGTGATCGCCGGCGCCCTTTTGGCTTCCAAAGCTTGCCTTTCAAGAGCAACAATCCTTGCTAGGAGTGTTTGGGGTCACCCCGTGAAGCGGAAGACAGTGCACGCAACTCGCGGAAAAGCACAAAGCTCTCAGCTCGATTCTCGATCTCAATATGGAGAGACGTGCAAACGAATGCTGCCAAAGACGTCGCAGAAGCTCTTCGGCTGCAAAGCACGTTGGTTTCTCCCACAGACTCGCACGGTGCCTGTCGAGTGCATCCTATTGCTGAGGTTTGCACTGGGTGACGGAAAACGAGAGATCTTCTGTGTACGGCTTCTTGTCTTCGGTGTAGTGGCAAAGATGTACGGTCAATCGTGCTTCAACCAGACATCCAGCAGTTTCCGCAGCCAAGCAGAACAGTCCTTGCCTCAGAAAGAAACTGAATTCAAAGGTTTTCATGCTGCATACAAGAAAACGATAGAAAACGGGCAAAGCCGCTTGTAACAGTAACATGGCGACTCCTCAATTGCCTCGCTTTGACGTAGTCATGCATGCAGACACTGTTTACTGTAAGACAATAAGGCTCACTTTGACGCATACGCATCATAACTCCTGAACCTCGGCCTTCCAATGTAGTGTCCCTCCTAGAGCGAAAGCAATTTAGGAAATGAAACTAATGTCGCGGACGCAAGACCTCTATTACTTTGTCCTGCGTAGTTCTTTTGTCTCAAGGTTTGCCCCGGACGACTTGTACTTGGCTGCCTGTGGGTATTCTGGCAGCAGGCTGCGAGCTTGATTCCGCCCACTCTGTGGAGCTCTAGGAATGGTTTTATCCACGTCTACAACACCAGCACCTCCCAGCCTCTCGCTTGCACGCAAGCGACTTGTACCTGCTCTTGTCTGATTGCCTTACCCTGTGATCTTGATCTGGTCCAGTGGGGTTCGAAACCCAGATTGGCTTTCAAGCTCCTGGGAGGCAGGTCAGAGGACCTGTGTTGCGTCGACGGGATGGGATTCATGCTAGAAGCTAGTTGGAGAACGCAGTCAGTCCTGTCGCAGGATGCTGGATTGCCGGTAACGCAAGTGAGGTGGCGGCCGGAATGCTTTGGACCTTAGGCTGCAACTCAGTGTCTCGATGACTTCTTCGGTGTGCTTGTGGCATCTGCATTACCGCCGCAAGGTAGCACGAAGTCCATCCTCGCTTCCTGGCAGCAGATCCAGACAGTGACACGCTGTTCATAGAGGACGGACTGTTGGACGAAGGTATCAGTGGGAGCGGATGGGAAGATTACACACTGGCACGCGTTCTCGGGCAGGCAGATGCACGAGAGCCTCGCATGAGAAGTACTCTGTGTTGATGTCTTGATCAGCCGTCCCGTAAACGAAGAACGCCTCGATGAAGCGTCGTGGGAGTCGGAGGTAGCACAGAGGGAGCTTCCTCTTGGCCGCTGCCTTGTCCATGTTCTCATGCCACTTAACCCGGTCATGGCATTTCCGGGGTGTTGTGGGAACCCGGCTGTAGCCCAGTGCCGTTGGGGATCACGTCTACAAGATCCGTGCTGAGTTTCAGTAACTGGGCAGAACGCTATGTCAAATTGGGGTCTCGCGGTGGTGAACCTGTACATCTATGAAGGCAACTCTTTATTCAACACACCTCGGCGGCCGTTGGTGATGCAACATGTCGACTGTTTGAAACATGCTTGGATTGTGGAGAGACAGACTGCGCTGTCCGTCAGTCACCTCCATACGCGATGGGTGTTGTTGGCTTTCGGTTTGGATGGCTGCCAAATGCTTATCAGCCTGGGTGTATTTCGGATCAAAGAAGAGTTATCTAATGATGACCACGTGTGGGAGAAGTTGTAGCCTCGTGTTGGACATCGGATTGAGTGTCCACCTCAACTGAAAGCTGATGCCTGACTGGAAGAGGCCATTTGGGGAGGTTCTGTGGCGTCCTGGATTGGGGAACACACTCCAAGAATCAACTAACACATGGTTTCAAGGTCCAAAGACATCTACGTAGGCAGAAAGCTGTGTGCCGTCTTGACTACAAGTGTGCTTCGAAATCGCTCGTTGAAGCGAAAGAGCTTGGTCACATCCCGTAGACCCAGTCTGATCATGGTTGTCAGCTTCAGTGGCACCTCCCGCGCACCAGTGCGATGAGCAGAGAGCCTTCACAGGGTGGACTTCTGTGTGTGTGTGTGTTTGAATCGTCTGTGCCCGCAAACTCAACGTCTGTGTCTGCATGCCTGGCAATTGCCTGGCTGTTGTGACAAGTTGTGACATTTGATGCGCTCACCTGGCGAACTTGCCGAAGCTACAACTGCCCGGCTGTCCGCGATCTGGTTTTCTACCCGCTTGAGCTGTGAAGGGTTTTAAACCTCCATGCTTTGACAACGCCCAGGATCGTCGAGCCAGAGAATCAGCTCTTCTGCAACTCAACTGCTTTGCAGCCTTACTCTGTCGGGAGCATCTTTTTTGGGAGAGCCTTGGAGAGGCGTCTCAATTTCAATTGGCATGGAGTCGGTTGGGCATGGTTGGGCTATTCAGGCCTCGACTTTCTGTATGATGGCACCCAGTTTGCCACTGCGGGTAAACAGCGCCACATTCGAATTTACGATGAGCTTCTCGGCTTTCCCAGTGCGAGAGCAGCGAGGGACAAACAGCCGAGAGCTGACTGCGAGGTCCACGAAGAAGCTTGTGCAGCTCATGCGAGGTGCGGCCGATAAGCAGAAAAGATCAAATCTGGCCGCCCCTCCCGCGAGGTGGAAACGATTCAGAGACTGCCGGCCCGTCAAACCGCGTCTTCTCCCTGAAGTATCATCCTCTTACGCGCCATGCCCATGGCTCGGTTCGGCCATGTACTCCGCAAGAGAGGGCAGAAAGGGGCAGAAGGCCACAGAGCATCTGAGGAGATTGTAAGTGGAGGTTGGGACAGCTCCGTGCAGATCTGGGATGTGCGCCAAGGACGTGCTGTGCGCGTCTCTTGGCCGTAACTACAGCAGTGCGCAACACACGCGAGAGCAGATGTGCACGTGCGCAGGGAAGCCGCACATCAGTGTGGAAGCAGTGCAGGTCATCGCTGGGCCACACATCTGCGGTGAAGCACTGGATATCTCTCAGGACCTGGGCACAGACGATGTCGTGCACTGATTGCGCTGGGAATGCATGCTGCAGGATGGAAGAACCATGCTCACTGGATCCTGGCAGCTTGCTGAAGCAAAAGCACATGACGCCTTACTTTTTGTCCGGATGCTAAGATTTTCAGGCGCATTCACGACCAGCTGCAGCTGTGGGATCTCAGGAGCCTGTTTTGGGCGGGGAGCGGGACGTCCGAGAGTTCTGGCAGTGCCAGGATGGAGCGGCTCTTGGCCACCTGGCCACCCTCCAAGAGCACGTCGGCGGCCCCAGCGCTGCCTTCTCGCTGCTTGAGATGTGGAAGCTCACTCTCAAGAACTCTCGGAGCTTTCCCTTTTCATAAACTCAGCGAAGATGATGTTCAGCACGAGGTGGATCAACGGGGTCTAGGAGGGTTGGAGGTCACGTTTAGGAGCGCAGCGGGTATCTCATGCGCTCGGCTGCATCCAACAGCGAGCCCACAGTCACCACCATCACGAGAGTATTGCACCTGCCACGACACCTCGCAGTACCGATAAAGGACATTACATGCGCCCGTTGAAACAACCCTAAGCACGTTCCGAGGCCTTGCATGATCTATGCCGCACAATTCAGCAAGGACTGCAATCCGCCAGTTAGTTTCGGAACTGGACGTTCGGACATGGCGCCAAGCTGACAAGACTTGTTTGAGAAACTTCAGGACGAATCTTCTAGCATGGTCGCAGCTGGTGGCAGTGGCGATCACGAGGTCAAGGCCAGACTTCTAACCGGGTGCAGATCGCTTCAGGCAGGCGGAAGTCCAGATCCGACAGGTGTTTCAGCGCATGGGAAGTGAAGCGGCATCAGCGGAGGCAGTGTCTTGGCAATACGCTTGGCATCTGTTCTGCGGAAGAGGATGACCTTTGCTGTTACGTGTGAACGGACCGAGGAACCTTTCGGCAAGATTTCCAGCTTCACACAGGCGTGCTACTCCGTCGACTTCGCGAACGTGTGGAGCCGAAGCTGCGGTTTCGAGTTTTGGGCGTCTGAGACACTTCCTAGACTGTGCACATGCCCTTTCTTCGACTCCATCTTGCCACTGGTGTGCTCCCCCGAGCCAGAGTCGTCATTTCCCATGACGTGTCGTCCGCTCGCTGCTGTTCTTTCGGCAAATCTTGTCGAATCGCCGATGATGTCTGAAGCCCCTCTTGCCATCGACGGCCTCGCCAGGATGTGCTCGCTCCGGTCTTGACCAGGGGCCTCGCAAACCCTGCCGTTTCACTTCTGTGCGGTGCTTCGTTTTTGTTTCGCCGGGCGGCCTCCGAAGTGCGTCTAATGCCGCCCTCACACGGGGCCATAGAGCCGAGCAGAGAGGCGACTCGTGTGCCTTCGGCATTGGGATCTTGCGTGTGTGTGTGTGTGTCTGTGTTTATCTGGGTCTTTCTTTAGATGATGATTCTGGTCTTTTCTGTGTTTGTTTGTACCATACTAGGTAGTAGATAGTAGATAGTAGATAGTAGATAGTAGATAGTAGACAGTAGACAGTAGTAGTAGTAGTAGTAGTAGTAGTAGTGGTAGTGGTAATAGTGGTGGTGGTAGTGGTTGTAGTAGTAGTAGTAGTAGTAGTAGTAGTAATACTGTTGATGGGGGAAATCTTGCACCACTTTNNAGTAGTCGTAGTAGTAGTCGTAGTATGATACTTTTTCCGACGCAACGAGACAGCCCAAGCTTAGCGACCACATACTGGCGGTGAACTGGCTTCAGAACGCATGCACATTGCGCACCCAGTGACATCCGCAAGGGTCACAAAGACTTAGTTATTTAGTCAACAGGTGTAGCTGAAAGCTACAGGTGACACACTTGCACACTATGCACAATCCATTCAGAATAGTACGCACTGCCATTCAGTATGTACAAGGAGGCAATCTTGCCATCAACGTCGGGGCCGTATGCCAAGTTTATAGTAGGGTTTGCACGACATGTACACAAACGAATCTTTCTTCCAAGCCAGCGGTTCAAGACATGTAAGGGGCGAGGAAATTGTCCCCAAACGAATCGTGTTGATTCAAAACACATACTGGGCGACGAGATGGTACACAAACGATTTTTTTCCAAGCCAGCGATTCAAGACATGTGGTGGGCGACGAAGTTGTCTCCAAACGAATCCTTGTTCCAAGTTTGTGTTTCAAGACATATAGGGGGCGACGAAATGGTGCACAAACGACTTTGTTTCCAAGCCAACGACTCAAGACATGCAGTGGGCGACGAAATTGTCCCCAAACGAGTTTTCTTTCCAAGCCAACGACTGAAGACATGTAGGGGCCGACGAAATTGTCCCCAAACCAGTTTTTCTTTTTCCTTTCCAACGGTTCAAGATATGAAGGAGGTGGCGAAAGTTTCTTCAAACGAATCCGTTTTTTAAATTTTGCGACTCAAGACATGTAGGGGGCGAGCAAATTGTCCCCACACAAATATGTTTTTCCACGTAACTTTTCAAGACATGTAAGCGGCGACGAAACTGTCCCCAAACGAGTCTTTTTGGCATGGTGTCGATTCAATACATGCCGGGGCGCCGACATTCTTCCCAAACGAAGTTTTTTTTTGTTGCAAGGTAGGGTTTCAACGTATGTAGCAAGTTGATACCTGGTGTTGCTCCATATCATGAGCAAAGATTTGAAGTCTTGTGCTATAACGACTGACCTCAGCATTTTCTGATGATGGTGGTGGTCGTGATGATGCTACTCATGACTCTTATGACACAGATCAACATAACCTAAAGAACACATCTCAACAAACTCCATGTGGTTTCGACCAAGTAAGGAGGAAGGAAGATGTACGTGAAGAGGCAAATGAAGCGCACATGAAAAGACCAGAATCAACACGAAACCACAAGACGCATGTTCACAAACTCCATGTGGTTTCGACCAAGAACGGAGGAAGGAAGATGTACATGGAGAAAAAATGCAGCCGTAGCAAGGGAAACACGATCAAACGACCAGAATCAACACGAAGAAAAAGACACAGATCAACATAACGGAAAAACCCAGGCCAACACAAACAAAATATCATAATAACATTCGCTCGGTGTGGTATCCTGTGGCCGTGTGGTGGGACCAGGATGCCAAGGTCCCTTCCCACGAGGAAAGCGACTTGAGAAGTCCGAGGGTCTTTGCGACGCAGCTTCTGAGGCCGGAGACATGCTGGCCGCCGCAGGAGGTGATGGAGTCATTCAAGTCATCAACATCCACACTCAGAGCTCGCACGCGTTACCATAGAGTGCCGAAAACCGTCACGAGCTGCAAATCCTGCAGCATGTGGCTCGGGAGGCGCCCGTTGGTCAGCGTTGCAGAAAAGTTTCTTCCGAGCTTGCTTTTGAAGCAGAAGCATATATACGTGCCCAAGTTTGACGATTTGCCAAATGTCTTTGCATGTCCCTGCCAGACGCACATCCGCTTGGCTGGGACTGCCGATCGCAAGGCTCCACTTTGAGAGAATTGGATTTGTATCGTGTTGCATGCCAAAAAACATCCATGTGACAGGCTTTGGTAACATCTTCCTACATGGATTTGATGTACAAGCCAGAGTCTTACAGAGTTCTGGCCGGGCCTGGATCATGTTCAGACCTGTGCTTGCTGGTTTCAAGTTTTGTGGGGTGGTTCGTCTTGGGCATCAAAGCGTTTTCAGTAGTGTCTGTGATCCGTTCCTAGACCGCTCGTGGGTCTATCGGGCCGGCATAGTTGTGTTTCCTGCGGTTTGACTCCGCGTCCCATAGTGGCCATAGTGTGCAGGCGATTGGTTCAACCTCTGCAGAGAGCAGAGCTTCAGAGCGTGGTGATGTCCTCAGGTCTCAGGGAGCCACTTGCAGGACATGATACATCAAGTATTGCAGCCATCAACATGCATGTAGGTGTCGCTCCTGGATGCATATGGCCTCCGAAAAGAGCACATGGTGGAGCAACTCTGCCCGGATTCTCCGGCTGTCTGACCCGCGTAATAAGATTAGACTACGGCTTAGAGATGCGATGCATCTGCCAGGCATCTCACCGAGTTGAGACAACCTCTGGGCTGCCAGGAGCCGTTCTGAGTGCCCGAAGGTCCAGGATAGAAGCCGTTTCTACTGCCCTCGAGGACCTCTTCAAGCAAGTGGATGCCAAGGTGGAGCTCCTACCAGCAGCCTAGCACCTGCCCAGCACACGTTTGGAGGTCAAGGCTGCTCTGACTCGGGAGCTGAACTCTGGGCGCCATGCTGCTAGGGTGCGGCCGCCTTCTTTGGAGTGCGCACTCGCTGTGGCACTGACTGTGGTTTCTACGAGCTTCTCCTACCTCCTTGTATCGATGTTGCGCCATTCAGGTTGCGTGCGCACGCGTAAGTAGCAGCCCCGGAGATGTGACGAAGCATCTGGATGCCGTCGTGGCTCAATGGCTAGATAGTCGCCGTCGAGTATCCGGCCATGTCATGTGCCTGGGCCGGATAGAGAGCATACCAGGCTTGCAGCTGGGGGCAAAATGTGGGGCACCTGCTTTGAGGTGCCAAGGCTGGCCAGGTTCCCATGTTGCCGAAGGACGCCTGCCTCTGCCGAGTGCAGTCTATCTGAGTCTATCTCGTGCTTGTTGAGACTCTTTACCTGGATACTGTGGAGCTGTTCTCTGTGCAGTGGATTCCAGCAGTGCCCTCATGAAGTATTTTGGTTCTTGAGATGAAGTATTTGTCTTTGGAGGAACGTCGCCGGCGAGGCGTTAGCCTTTTAAGCACCCTCGGTGCAGCAAGCTGAGCCTTCCGTCGATTCTGTGGCGATCGCCATCGGACACGTTGCTGCCTCGCTCCTCCCCGAGGCAGCCGCTGTCACTGGTTTTGTAGGGTTATGTTGCCGGAAGCTTACACGCGTGCTCTTTGATCGCATTTCTTGCATCTGATTTCATCTGAGCTTAGCTTCGAGGCTCCCCTCTGACCGATGTGGACCTTTCCGAGCTGGAGGCCAGCTCTTGGAGTGTGGCGAAAGACGGCAACGATGGCACATGGTTTGGTCAGTCTTATGGGGAGCACACCTTGGTGCTGCTGCGGCACGGCGAGTTGGCGCCTGGGTCGTTTTCTGACCTTTAAGAGCATGCCTTCTTGGACTGCGAGCTCGGCATCGAGGTCTGAATGGAACCTGCAGAACCGCTTCACAGGCGAATCCAGCTTTGCTTTCCTCAAAACACTGCTGCAACTCACCATCGCACCTTGACAAGTTCGTGTGGGACGGATTATCTGTGACTGGCAGGCTGGGTTGATGTGGACGTGTCCGCCAAGGGTGCTGAGGAGGCCACTAACGCGGGCAAACTGCTGCATGCGGCCAATGTCAGCCCCTGCCTCAGTTGAGGAGATATCACAAAGTGCCGCTGAGAGAACACACATGCTGAAGGTGTAGATGTGGCCTTCACGTCGTACCAGAAAAGAGCGATCAAGACGCTGAACTTAGCCTTGGAGGACCTTCCTTGCAACAGGATGAAACCGCTCTTCGACTGCTGCGGCCGTGAGGAGATGGACTGCTTGTGGATTCCTGTCGTCAAGACCTGGAAGCTGAACGAGCGGATGTGCGCCGCTAGCGAGCCTGGTGCAGGGATGATAGCATTCGGAAGTTGCCGCTGAGGTACGGTGATCTACAGGGCCTGAACAAGGCCGAAACAGCCAAGAAGTTTGGCGAGGAACAGGCTTGAGTTGCTGCTGTTGCGTGAGTGTGGGAGGTTGCGGGAGTGTTCAACAGATTGGGCTGCGGTTGGTTTGCTACTCGTACGGTTGTGTCTTTTGTTCCTGTAAGGGTTTCTCCTTTCCCTTTCCTTGCGATTCCGGTCCTGCCTGGCAGTCCTCGCTCAGTGTTTCATTGTTTTGGGTAGATACAGTAGGGCTTGGATGCATTGACACATGTCCGCAAGCAGAGGACTAAACGTGTAATCGATAGGTGCTAAACCAACACCGAACTAGGCGGCGACACCGACCCACATAAATGGAACCCGGTTTGATGTCGAGTTCGATCGAGGCAAGCAAAAAGACCACGATGACACAACCAAGAGAAAGCTCGACAGTAACATTTGTACATGAATTCTAAAACCAACCTGATCGAGACGAATGTCGAAGGGCCGGTCGCTTCGATGCGTGTGGCATCCAGCCCACGTTTTCGGATCAGCTGCTTGCCGATGATGAAGTCTCTCGCAGTCGTGCTTCGAGACTTTCGTGTCACCATGGGTTCAAGCACCTGAGCGAAAAACTCGCGACAGAAAATCTCGGATCCTGGTCTTCGGATGTCTTCTGGAGCAGTTTTGTCCTAGACCCTAAACCCTAAAGCCTAAACCCGTCTTCTGCCTAAACCCCAGGTGACCCGGTGGCGCCGTTCCTTCTCAGAGCCGCCGCCTCCGATCAAGGCCGGGCAGGGCCCGTGAGCGGAGCCCCGAGCCCTCAGCCGGGAGCCTCCCTTATCTATATACAATATATACAATTTATATATATATATATATATATACAATATATATATATATATACAATATATATATATATATATATATATACAATATATATATATATATATGGTATTATCATTATTATCATTACTATCATTGTTATGATTATTGCTATTCTAATATCATATATTATTTTTTCTGTTTCTCTGAGACTGTCTGAGGACGACAGCCCGTACCATCCGAAGCTGGTGCGGCCCCAAGTGCATGTACCGGTAGCAGTCCCAGAGCTCTCGTGCAGTGGGAGCAGTTCCGCGACCTACTGCAGGACCCCAAGTACAGGGACATCCCCAAGAAGAATCTGCCACTAGCAGAGCACGCCCAGCCTGTTTGCAGCCGTGCACTGGCAGGTGTCCCTTGCCGCTGTTGTGCTGGTGCAGGTCTTTGGCCTTGACGATCCAGAGGGTTTTGCCTTTCTGGAGGCGCCGGTCTCGCATTAAGAAGTTGAGCTTGGCTTCTTCTTGCCTTGAAGTTCAACCGTTGGACCAGCATGGGATTTAGAGCTGTGCCTCTAGCCGCGAAGGCAAAGTATTGCACCACAGCTCCACAAGGGCAAGAAGGCGACGACTCGATCGTCATTCGTCCGGCCGTAAGCAAAGATCAGAACACCTGGCAGAGAGGTGCTGATTGCTGCTCATGGCAACTCGCTGCGAGCTCTTGTCAAGTACCTGGATAACGTGCCAGAGGATGCTTGGGATAGTTGCACTTGTTCAGTGCCGATTTCGAGATTTCTTGCACGTTCCTGGCCAGGATAAGATTGTCGGCCTGAACATCCCGACCGGGGTGCCTTCCCAACAAATCCACCTTTTTTGCATGCTGCTTACGTGAATATTACTGAGCGGCCGCCTGCTCAGGTGCCGCTCGTGTATAGATTGAACCGGCAGTTGAAGCCGGTCGGGTTCCAAGTTCCAAGACGGGGCTTCTTCGCGTCTCCTCAGCACGCGCTCAGCTGCGAGGTCGAGCTGCCCGGGCATGCGGAAGGGCTGAGTCGGGTCCTCGAAGAGCCACCATGCTGAGAGGCGAGGGATGCCTGGAGTCATCATGTTCTGGCATGAGTCTGCCGGCACGTATCGTCAGAAGCAGAACCAAGTTTCTTCTCGAGGACGACTCTCGCGATTGTTCAAGTAGTTGCAAAGGATCTGAAGTCGCTCGATGCAGCAGCGCTTTAACTTCATGGGTTGGTGGGCGGATCGAGCTCGGTTTTCACCAGATGGGAGGGGCCGAGCCGGCTTCGGCCGTCAGCGGAATGGCTGTCGGCGAGTGTTTGTTGCCAGGATGTTGTAATTGGTAGTCCCACAGTCGCGGCGAGCGACTCCGTCTCATCAACCGAAGCGCGAAGAAGCAGCGCGGGGAAGCTCGCAAGAGACGGATCCCAATCCGTCGCAGATCTTCGCGTTGTGTGGGAGCAGAAGAATTCTGATGAAAGTAAGCTTTTTGCACAGAGCCGGTGTTCCAAGGTGGGGTCTATCTGGGAGATCCAGATTGGGTGTCTTCCAAGATCAATGGCGTCAAAAACCAGGCCGCTGAATGTCGGTGTGACCGTCGTCATCCGATTGGGGGCCTCATGACTCTTGTGTTTCTTCGAGGCCAAAGGACGCTAGCAGCGATGAGCAGCACAAGTGTTTAGTCTGTAGAAGTAGAAGTTGTTTAGAGGGTATGCTGGCTCGAAAGTAGCCTCGTGGCATCCCTTTAATTCGCTCGGGCGACGCAGCGTTCCGTCTTATGTATCCTTGAAGCTGAGGTGCCAGAAGGCTCCGAGGTTCCGTCGAGCTTTTGTTCTCGAATCTTCAGGAATCCGCTCAGCTTTCACAGCTATGTCAGCTTTCCCAATTGGAAAGGCAAGCTGTCCAGCACAAGTACCCTGCCAAGTTCTGTCCCACGAAATCGTCTTCTTAAGCCATGTTGATGTCATTGCATGCAGGCATGCATTTTCATCACGGCATGTGACAGTGTCTGCAGATCGCTTCGAGGAATAGGACATGTTTTGGCAGGTCTTGCCGACCGCCAAGCGCAGGGTACTTAGCGTACTTGGCGCTCGGACTTGCGTGGGTTGGCAGCAAATTGGCAGTCCAAGGCAGAAGACATGCTGAGGACACCGGAGGCACGGTGCTTGATGCAGCTGAGTGCTGAGCTGAGTCAATGGTCTCACGGACGCCAAATTTTGAAGGTGATGACATGGAAGACCGCGAGGCAGGGGCAACAGTAGAGAGCAGGTTCAGCGGAGGTGTGGCGCAGGGGTGAGAGTGCGGAAAGAGGTCGAGGCCAGCGACGAGGAGGATGCTGCAGATGCGCTCGTCAAAGCCAGCAGCTCGAAGTCTGCAGAAGTCTTCGCAATGTGCCCCTAGCGGAGCTTAGGTCAAGTCGCAGGCGAAGGCCAAGGCAAAAGCAAAGACGAAAGGCAAAAGCGGGAAGGCCGAGGGCCCATGTCATCCCCAGCGTGGAAAGAGGTAGGGACTTTGTGCCAGGCAAAGTCGCAGGGGTCGACTTAGCCGCGTAGCCTTGGCCTTAAGTTTCTTGGACTTGTCTGCTTTGTTCAGAACCTGGACCCGTGTGAGGCCCTTACCAATGCGGGGGAGAGCATTGAATCTGATCCAGCGGGGAGTGGCGACTGCAGTTCCAGCTGCGGGGCTGTGGGGAAGCACTGGGGAAGCATCAGGGTAGGTGTCAGCGTTTGTCAAGCATTGCCAAATTCTTCTCTTCCTGGTTCCTGTATGCATCTCTCTGTCCCTCTTTCCCTCCGTCTCTCTCCCTCTCTCCCTATCACCTTCCACTACTGTAACCTGTAAGCAGCATGGCAACCGGATGGTCTTTTGTTAGGCTACGCAGAGATCCTAGAGCGCAGATAGGCACTGCAGCGAGGGTGACACCTACCCTGTGTGATGCCCCAAACCCGCAGCTGATCCGTCGCGGAGTCAAAGATGTTTCTGCACCTTGTTTGAATCTATGTCGCGAAGCAGCTGCTTGTCGCGCCCGAAAGGGTCGCATATACCTCATGTGCCCCTGGCTGAACCAGGAGCCTGGTGCTGCCTGTCCGCCAGTGGATTCCCCAAGCTTCCAGGTTGGACTTCGTACACATCCCAGGCTTTACCTGTTGATTCGCCATGGAAGCAGGCAATGTCGAGGTTGAATGAGAGAGTGATAGATGCAACATACTGGAACAGTAACGAGGGCGATCGTTGCTTTTTCTTGGGCACCTGCAGGTGGAAGAAGATGCAAATGCCAGCCGCCGACCGTGCTCGCTTGTCCGATGCTTCGGGTGTGACGATAGAATCACTACAACCTGTCCCTGCTCTCTGGGAGATGAGAAGTGCTGTGTCAAAGCGTCCTCGGCATCAGTTGCAGTAGCCTTGTGGATCTCAGTGAAGCTGTCCCCAGATCTCTCAGAAATCACCAGTGGCACTTGCGAAGACTTCTGCCATTTGCCAGGTCTATCTCCACGTGAGCCAAGCTCGCTGCAGTCGCCGGCAGCCTGCAGGCAGCGCTGGTGGTTGCAAAAAAACGAGGTTGAGCATGATGTCTGATTTTGAAAGCTCGTGCACAGAGCAAAGATTTTAGATGGATGGCGTCAGGTTTCACGTACGCTCGGCAGCAAGGCATTGCTGACAGTAGAGCTTGTCCGGCGAGTGTCCACAATCAGGCAGAGCGATTTCAGTTGCTGCAATCTGCCAGATCACGCGATGTTCCTGATGGGCATGCCAATGTCTCCAACACATCGATTGCATCAGAGTGCGATGGCCAAGCTTCTGGAGATTCATGCCTGAACGAAGGCACAGACGGTCGTAGCCTTGCTCTCTCCATCTCTTTCGAGTTTTCATGACATGCTTCTGCCGCAATATGCGATGCAATAAGTCTTCAGTGTTTCGGCCCACCGAATCGTAGCCTTTCCAGGGTACCACCGGCCGTTAATTTCACGCATCCTGTTGACGCTCATGGAGGGCAAGCGATGTCACTGAGCAGTCGGGTCATGGCTTATCAGGGCCTCCAACGAGGTGGTGATAGAACTGGGCGGCCGGCATGATGTTGCCGTCTCGTCCTCACCATGCGCGCAGTCCGCTGCACCCACCCTCTTCCCTTGCCAGGTCTGGTTCCTGCCCAGCTAAGCCCAAGCCGTCAGTGCAGACGCACGAACTCCAGACTCCTGTCATCGTCGCCGAGGGCAGCAACGTTTGGGCAGCAAAAAGGTCGGGCTCGGAGTTCCAGGCTCGTCTTGGCGTTTGGGCCATGAAGCGGCAGTGGAGCGAGGTGACGCTGACCAAGCCAAGCTCGGTCCTTGCAAGGGAAGAGCTCCTGTCCTTCGGGAAGAGCCCTCAAAAACGCGGTTCCGGCACCTCGGCGATTTGGCCAATCGGGAGCAGGAACGCTACCGCTACTGCCTGTGTTCCAGGCTGGGAGCCGCTGAGTCCGCAACGCGTGCAGAGGGAGGTCCTCGTCGCTGTCGCACCGCAGCAGAGACAGGGACAGCCGCAGCACGTGGCAGCGCATGCACAAGGCAGCGCCTCTCCCGTGAAAAGCCCGAGCCCAACTGCGCCGTTGCCACCACCACAGTCCTCGCCGCCCAGAGAGGATGCCGTGCCGCGTGCCCGCGTGGCAATCGTAGGTGCTGGGCCTGTTGGTCTTTGGGTGGCCGTGCTGCTGGCCCGTGCACACGCGCGTCTTTTTTTCACTGCGTCTGGCTTTCGCATCAAACGCCTTCCTGGAGCGCCGGACATCAACGAGCCACAGCTTGAATGGCACACAGGATGCATAAGTGTTCCGTCATGCAGTTGAGGTCTTTGAACGTCGCACCGATGAGGGTGGCTGGGGCTCGCGCGATCGAGCTGCATCAGTTGCTTCCGAGCTGCCTATGTTGGACTCCCGTGCATTATGATGCCATGAGGCCGTATTGTACTGGCTATGTCGAATGCCTCGCAGGCGATGCGCGTGAACTGCAAGTTGCATGTAGTTGCATGTTGGTTTGGCTGTTATTTACTTGATCCAGCACTCTCGAGGACTGTTTTCGTCTGTACGCGCCGGATGGGTTCGGGATGTTTGGGGGACCTGGAACCTTCAATGAGATCAAACCCGGTCGTCAACGCATGGCAAGGCTGCACTACCGCGGTCCGGCGAGTTTTAGCGCGAAGAAGGGTTTGTCGATGATGCCACCTGGTATTCATGGCGTTTGCAGACAATGAAAGTACGCTCTGCAAGCTAGTGCTCTAAACGTTGGTGCTACTACTGTGTGATTTCTGCAGCAATGTATTCGTGGAATTGCTACTATCAGTGTCTCTATAGGGCCAAAACTTCAAGTCAAAATGCTGTAGAACGGGGGGGGGGGTTGGGTTTCACGGGTGCAACACTGTAGCCGAGCTTTCATCGATCCGGTTGGCAGGAACAGGTCTGCCTTGTCCCGTTATTTGTGGGCGCGGTGCCTCCACCCATACTTGCTGCTGTTCCCTGTCCTGGTTCCTATCCTATACAAATAGAGAGCTGCAGCAAATCCTGCGGCACGAAACTGGCCTCTGCAGCTGCAGCCGTAGAGGCTGCCCTTCAGGTTGGCAGAAGCGACCAGAGAAGTGGCACCTGATGGGTATCTTACGCTTTCGTGCTGAAAGCCTGCGACTTGCTCCCGGTACTCGGGCTGCCGGTGGCATCCACGCATTTCAATTATGCCGACGTTGAAGTTGTGACGAGTTGGTATTCTTAGTCGCGCCTGCATGGCCAAAGCACAACTGGTCTTGTTTACCAGCAGTGGTAGCAAATCGCTTGGTGAAAGCTCTTGCAGGATGTCCTCAACAGTCGAATCATGTCCGAGAGGGAGCTCTGTGCGCATCATTGCGGGGACTCCCAGATGCCTGTTTGTATCAGTGATTGTCTGCAGGCCTTTTGTTTCAGCGGTCATTTAGTTTCCCGGGAAGTGTCCATGGTGGTGGGAGGCTTCTCACCCACCTGCTCCATCAACCTCATCGAATCCATCCTCCGTGAGGACGAACTGTGGAGAGACGTGTCACAGCACGTGTCGTGACCAACCCTTGCAGAGAAAGCGCTGCTACGGATTCTGTGGCATGTGACGCAGCCGCTTTGACTCCAAGTGCCGCTAGTTGCCATGAGATTGTCGGGTGAGTCATGCTCTCACTTCCGGCTGCTTAGCAGAATTTATTAGCAGATTGTTCTTCGTCGGGGGCATCAGCACGCAGATACCTCAACGGATGTGGCTCGAAATCATGCCTTTGCCACGGGCTCTCCGGGCTAGTTATCCTCAGCGCGTCAACTGGCTGTAAATCCCTGAATCCCCTCTCGACAGCCTGCAAACTGCCTGTGTTGTGATCCCGGGGTGATCGAATTTGTCTAAGTTCACTCAACTCCTTTGAGTCCCTCAAGTCCGCATCTTGAGAACCGGTGATTCCTTCGACTCCACTACTACCACTGCTACTACTACTACTACTACTACTACTACTGCTGCTGCTACTGCTACTTCTACTGCTACTACTGCTACTACTACTACTACTACTACTAC